TGCTAAGGGACCAGCTCACCAATGAATTTTATTTATAAATAACTTTTGTCTAATTAAAATTCATGGCGGTACACGGCTTAAAGTGAAAGGCTTGAGTTACAGAAATTTCCTTATGTTTGTAGGTCTTTGAACTTGGATGAAGAACTCAAGCCTTTGGTAACAGCCTGGTCACATCTGGGCCCCTTCTTGGATCTGGGGCCCCCCTGCTCTTGGCCCTTCCCTTGTGACCTAGAGATAGAAAGATGAAAGCAAAATGAGGCCGTGTGCTTGGGAGCAGCGTAAAATAAGTGGATGACATTGATTCGTAAGTCATCGTCGTCGTGATTTCCTCTTCCAAGATCCACTGCTTCCAAGGGGTTATTCTGGGTGGATCTTGGGGGGTGCCACAGGGAAGAGACAGATGGGCCCCTTCACTTCCTTCCTTAAATTGCTTCGTTCGGCCTTTTTTCCAGCTTCGCTCAGCCTGTTGGGGTCACCAGATATAGAAAGATGACCCGACCCAAGGGCTTGGCCAGAAGAAAACCCAACTTAGCTCCAAGACGGTCCAACATAGCCATAAGAAAGCCCAACATAGCACCCAAAAGAACCCAACATAGCCTCAGCTTATCAACTTCATTCACTCCTGAAAAAAATCCTTCCCCTTTAAGTCCACCGCTTCACGGGATAGAAGTGGGTGCCTGGCGATTGATCCCGGGGAGGACGTTGTTGCTTTTCTTTCGGACCGGCTGTAGGATTCATAAAGACTGTCGACCCTCAGAATGGTTGGTCACTAACTAACATGACAAAGGATCCCGAAATGTTCTTCAAGTTTGATCTTGTCTACAAAGCACTCTTGGGCTCCAGAGTGCTTCCTGTAAATCTTCTCTTTGAGGTTCAGTGGAGCTGGACAGTGTCGTTTGGTCCACAACCGCCTGGCGACCAAAACCAGCATGTGGTGTGGTTGGACGATGGCCTCACTTCATTCCTCGAAGACATTCATTGATCGAAGCACCCGACCTGCTTCGCTGCACAAATCGACAACCTGTGCTCAAATCTCCTGCCACCTGCCACCTGCTTCGCCCAAGGACTTGAAGCTCACCGCCAACCGACACGTGGTCGGAGTCCTCCGAGGCACACGGAGTGGCATCGGAAGGAGGAGCGGGGGAACAGGACGCATGTGAGAGATGGAAACGGACAGAAGAACTGGGTGGCTGCTTAGGTGGTTTCAAGATGTTTCAATAAATTTTGTGTTCAACCTTTAATTACTTGGGATGATTGAGCCTACTGAGTACGTCATTTTTGTTCGTGAGTTGACTCCACCAACCAGAGAAGGTATCCAACAGTCAGATCCAACAGTCAGCTCTGGAAGAATCCTATGATCAGTTCACTGGAACATTCTGGAACCGTTGGTTGAACTTTGGTTTGACATGGTTTGACCAGATGTCATGTGTCATGTCTGGATGCCGTGAGGGTGGATCCAGGAAGTGAGGCTGTGGTTCTCGACTCACGACCACCACAAACCAATGGAAATGCACCTTTGATCACCATCTTCATCAGTGGTGTGCTTCTTAACTATCAAAGCGAGACATGAATCCTTGAGAACCAAAATCTGTCTTTCACCACCTTCAACCGTCAAGAAAAACATGTTTAGACTGACGAGTTGTCGCGAGTTGTCGTAGGTCACCAGTAGGTGCAAATAGGCACCAAGGAGACCTAGAGGACCCCTCGTTTCTTAAAGAAAGGAATATGGGGTCTACTGGCGGATGGACCGATGGATCAAAGATAGATCATGAGTCATGAGAGATCTCAAATTTAGAGATTACACAATATTGTTTGTTGTCCGGAGGCGTTGTCTTGGAGGTTGTGGACGTCAGTTCATGAATCTGATCCAGAATCATAAGATCCTGGACCTGGTCGTTGGAAGGCTGGGGAGGAACAGTTAAATCAATATGGTCAAGCCTGGCCAAGCTGTCCCTTCCATTGATAAGGACAAAGATCCAAACTGTCCTAGAATGCATCCATGCCCCAGGCTATGATCAGTTCATGAACATTGTGCTGGACAACACGGTGGAGATCGTCTCTCCCACTGAGAAGAACGAGATCGGCATGGTGGTGATCCGAGGTCCGTCGACGGAGACGGTCAGCGGTCGTGGAATGGATTTTGGACCGAACGATCCGAAAGATGCTAATAGCTTCTTGTTACTATACTAGTAAGGCACTTGTTACTACTAGCGTGGCACTTGTTACTACTAGCGATGCACTTGTTACTACTAGCGATGCACTTGTTACTACTCGAACCCTGAAATCATCATGGTTACATGGAAGTGGAGTTCACCACCTGTTGGTAGAGGATGGTAGAGGAACATGTACTCATCCAAGGGAGAGCATCATTATTGTCCACGTAACCATGAGGATTCAAGGGAGTGATTTCCAACATCTTCAGCCTTGCTTTGATGTTTCCCCGGCCATTGATGTGAATGTGCCTTTCCCTTTAGGGATGCGATTGCCAACGTATTGGAATTGGAAGTCACCAGCGGTTCCCACAACTAAACACATCGTGCTCGAACGACCGTGATCCTTTACAGTGGCAGCTAGGATCGACTGATCGACAGGCTTGAACCATGGAAAGGAATGTGATGAGGACCAAAGATGCTCATCATATGCTTTCAGGTCTTGGTGACCTGATGGACTTCCACTGTCTTCATTTGGACCTGATGAACTTCCTACTCTTGCTGAGTCCCACCAAGAAAAAATACAAGTGCTGGAAGACCCACCTCGGAATTGGGTATGCACGATGGAACAGCAGATACAAAAATCCAACGGACGTTCAGCTCAAGACTGACTGTGATGCAAAGGTGGTGTTTGTTTTACTTGCCAATATCGCTGTGAAGACGCAAAGACCGACAAACAACTTATGGGCCAAGTGCATGTCCTCCCGGAAACCAGATCTTTTTACTCCTGCAGTCTGCAGTCACTAGACTAGACGTCACGCATGTCACTGATTCCTATGTTTATCAATTCTTCGCGGTCAAAGGTCACCGATGGTCACCGGGTGCTCCGCCGGTCAGCACGAGGGTGCTCCGTCGCTCCGAAGCCCCTGCCAGGAAACAGCATCATGATGTGGGAATGCTTAGACCGAGTGAAGTGATCCGAGGAAAGAAACCTTTGCCGCGACAGCGCAAGCATTGCGCGATCTCGTTTGAATCCAATCTTTGGAGTCAAACAAGATGTCAAACAAAAGTTGTCGCTAAGTCTGCAGACGAGTCTCAGTCTCAGGTACATTACATCTTGGAATGTGAGCACAAGTACCTGGCTTATCTTAAAGCCACTCTGTAATTACACTGCAACAGAATGAGTGCTAGGGAGAGAGAAGTGTCCACTAGTTGTCTGAACCTTTATGAACTTTGGCTCCTCTTTGGCTTCACTGTATCTTTCTGCCGTGTGATGGCGGTTAGTGATGGATAGTGAGCACAGCAAGCTGCAAGCGACAAACAGCTTGGCACATTGCATACGAGGCCAAGTGTGCAAGATTTTGTGTGCCATCCTTTCCTGTAAACAGGTAGAACATCAGCAAAACCCAGTGACATGTCATGTAAATCTAATATTTTGCAATTTAAGGCGTTTGAGGCTGGTTGTTGGGCTCTAAAGTTACTAACTTTTATCATTCTGGGGTGTTCTCTTCACTGCACTGACAAATACCTAGGGTACTTACTCACTCGCTGGGCCGGACTGCAGTGAAACAACTCGCCATCAGAAGCCGTCAAAGGCTTGTGCGGCTTGTGTTCATAGGATGTGTTCTTTCCCTTCAACATGATGGTGTGCTTGATCCTTATTCTTGTCAAAGTTGGATGGCACAAACGTCCTCGCGTCCTAAAAACTACGGATGGCGCAAGCGCAACGACCTGGCGGGCGTTACAAAGACTGGAAGTGGCCGGGGGTTCGTCTCGGTGTGGAGTCCTTTTTGATGTTTGTGTTATATATTACACATATATCAGTAATATATCATATGAACAAATATATAAATATATATATATATGTGATTATGTATATGAATTTATATAATATATATATATATGAGTTGAGAATCAGTGTTCAGGAGTCTCATCTACAGTAATTTCAATTGATTTCATACCCGAACTATCTCTCTTGACTTGATCTGGAGGAAAACAGCGTTTTCGTGCGTGATCTCTTCTCTTGCCATGAATCTTCAACTCGACCCTGAAGAAGATGCTTGCCACCTTGCAAGGGGTACTGTAGTGATGATCAATGTTTTTGACTGGCTTAGAGAAGAGATCCTATGCCAGGCAAAGTCTCAGAGAATCAGTCTGCAAAGAGGGCATTTGCTTTGGGTCCAACTCCCCATTGTTTTTACTTGTCGCTGCCACCCATCCAGTTGTCATAATTCAGAGGCAAACGGAAGGGTAGTGCACAGAAAGGGTTTTGCAAAAACCTATTCTACTAACATCGTGGAAGGCGTGGGACATTCGTAGAACCCGAGGCTATTCGTGGACAGTTCGTGGAATGGTGGGCCAGTAGGAGAACTGACTGCAACGAAATTCCAGAAACCTTCGCAGAACTTCGTGGAAGGTATTTTTGATGCACTAACTTCGTATAAGCGATTTTTGCTGACCTCCTTTCTCCACACACCCTCCATTTAGCCTTCAATAATTCACCCAAATCTAAATACATTTAGGAGCATTTGCTGCTAAGCATCCTTTACCAACATTTACCAACACTTGCTGAACTGGTACCTGTTTGAGTTGCTGTTGACCGACCAACGCGCACGGTGTTCATTCTGACATGGGCCCTTTGCAGGTTTTAGACCCAAATCGGAAAAGAATCGACCAGGCTTCCCCAGAGGGTGTGGATCCTTTTTGGAAACTCTAGTTGGGTGAATGGAATCTGTCACCCGAGTTTTTCCAGTTGGGTTCATTCCATCGTTCTTGGCGCTTTAAACATTTTGTATCATGTTTCTACCGTGGTGTTTTGTGGCGCTTTTTTGCGCTTCTCATCCTCGGCAGGCTGACAGTGAGAGCGAGGCCTGCGAGCTGGAAGAGTCAATGATGACGATACTTTTCCAGTTAATCCCAGTCGCCACGATATTCTACATACTGTATATATACTATATACCTCAATGCCTCCGAATTGATGCCTTAATTAAAATATGATAATATGATCATATGATATCATAACTATATTTATATTTATATGTTTTTTGTTATGTTATGTTATGTTATGTTATGTATGTATGTATGGTATGGTATGTTATGTGATGTGATGTTATGTTATGTATGTGTGCATTAATGTAATGTAAATGTTAATGTAAATGCAAGTATGTATGTATGTAGTATGTAATGTATGTATGTATGTATGTATGTATGTATGTATGTATGTATGTATGTATGTATGTATGTATGTATGTATGTATGTATGTATGTATGTATGTATGTATGTATGTATGTGTGTGTGTATGTATTTGTATGTGTTTGTATGTATGTATTTGTATGTATGTATTTATGTAAATGTATGTATGTATATGTGTATGTGTGTATGTATTTGTATGTATGTAATTGTATGTATGTATATGTATGTATGTATATGTATGTATGTATGTAGGTATGTATGTATGTATGTAAATGTATGTATGTAATTGCATGTATGCAATTGTTTGTATGTAATTGTATGTTATTATATGTAGTTGTATCTAGTTGTATGTAGTTGTATGTAATTGTTTGTAATTGTATGTAATTCTATGTAACTGTATGTAATTGTATGTAAATGTATGTAATTGTATGTATGTGTATGTATTTGTATGCATTTGTATGTATTTGTATGTAACGTAATGTAATTTAATGTAATGTAATGTAATGTAATGTTACGTTAGGTTAGGTTACGTTACGTTACGTTACGTTACGGTATGTATGTATGTATGAATGTATGTATGTAATGTATGTATGTATGTAATGTATGTAATGTATGTAATG